ATTGCATGGTAGGTAAGGTAGTGTAAGCATTTATCATTTACACATGGCACAATAAGTACACCACTAAAAACAATTACGAGTACGATCGCAAACAAAACTTTAACAACACTTGTACATAGAGACGCCATGGAATATTAAAACACCAGTTGGTAAAGTTAATATTGCATGGTAGGTAAAGGCTGTTAGTAATTAAATCAATAAAATATTATTTACACACATACGTACTTAAATACTTATTAACGCGCTTGAAATATAACTGTTATTTAGGAATAACACTTTTACTAAGGTAAACCTACCTTTCTCATTTACGTATAAAGCCTTAATGTCATCAAGTTCATTTTCAACCGCTGCAGAGTTTGTCCATCCACGCAGCCATTGTAAACTCTACAAAAAATTCTGTTCTTGAATATTACAAAAAGACTCTATAGGCATCTATATAAATATACCTCCAGAACCACGAGAATCGACTCTGCAGAATGACGTTTCGAAAGAAACGTCATGACGTTGAGGTCATGTAAAGCTTCAACGAACAAAATTATACCATAATTTCTTATGCTTAATTCGTATTATTGTTATGGTTTCATGTGATACAAGTATGTCTATATATATATACTATACTATACTATACTATACTAACATATATATATTTATACAGATTGCAGAAAAAACTATTAAAGGTCACAAAGCCCATAGCAAGGAAATCTTTATTTGCCCTGATCACCTTCAGGTCATAATACGGTTTTATTAACATTGACTTGTAGTCCAGTTTGTTAATGTTTAAATATCTAACGATGTTTTAAACTAGTAGCCTACGTATTGGTGGGTAATAACGCTTCATTTAAAAAATAGCTAAATTTCGTTACCTTTTTAGCTTCTTCATGTCGTTGCCTCGAGACTAGCCAATGTGGAGATTCTGGGACGAAGCATAGCATCACAATTGCCAATATCTAAAAATAAATAAAAACTAAAATAAATGAATGCCTTGGCACTATTCGATAATACTCATTATTTATTAGGCTTACACCATGAGTTACTAAAAGTATAAAACAAAAAAATTACAATAAATTTTAAATCAAGTAAATCTTTCACGATTTCAAAGCATTAAGTAATAGAACCACGTAGTTGCAATTGAAACCATGAAGTTATGCAAATCTAAACGATTTTCTCGAGTTATAAATTTCTTACTACCGTACCTATTATCAGGAATCACAGAGTACGGTGATAAGAAACCTGCAATTAGTGATAACCATTTTACAGAATTTTTACATAAGCATTTTTGTTAGAAATCTATAATTAAATACCGCAAAAGTGATGTTAACGAGCGCAACTGTTCGCCAGTAGAGAAATATCCCGAAAAGGAACTGTGTGAAGACACCAATGATAATGCACAGGGAGCTTGTGGCAGAAAGTGCTCCGCGGAGGTGTGGCTGTGTGATCTCTGCTACGTACGTCAGTACCTGCAACCGTCAATAATGCATGATGTCCAAAAAAAGTGGATAGTATTTTTTTTATTTTTTATTTTTTTATTTATTTATTACACATTTCATTTTTAACACACATGAAACAAACACTAGCCAAAACAGTTTCCGCTAATGTTTAAAATAACTTACGTCCGATAGACAAATTTGTACATAGCTATAACCAGGTAACAACTAACAATAATTACCACTACGCAACAAATTATAAATCACTTTTAATTATAATTTAAATTTATTGGATATCATGATGATTCTGTTATGCGAAATCACTCCACTACTTTTTTATAAGTATATATACAAAAGATTGAACACTAAGAACAATTCCTTTAATCTATTAATAATTACATTAATAAAAGCTTCCCTAGTATTCTGACGTCTACTAATTAAAACGCGGCTACGTGACAAATGGTCAAATATCTGTTTCAAATAGCAAAAGATAGATGACAAAATTGTCTTTTAAAAACAGTTAAAATTAGTTAAAGAGTTTTTAACGATATTGCAAAAAAAAAATTTGTCACATAGCCGCGTTTTTAGTTAGCGGACGGCAGTATTCAACACCAAACAGTGCAACAAATTTTTTCTCATCCTCGGGTTAGTATCCGTTGCAATTTTTACTAATTCAAGTATTTAGGTTACAACATCGTGAATAATTAAATAACATTTTGTTTTAAGCAGTGACATTTTTGGAAATTCACAAAAAAATCTCATTTTGTCGGCTAAATTCGTATACATTAGGTACGTTTGTTCGAAACAAAAGCCTCTCTACAAAATGTCATATTAAACGTATGGGAACGTTTAACGTTAACATTTTGGATATTTTAGTGTTATTTTCAAAAAGTTGTTTAGTGTCGTTTCACTAACTACTTTTTTTTTTAACTTTCGTACTTTTCTTCTCAGTTTAAAAGTTTTTGATATCTCTTATATTTACGGAATAATCACCAGGGTATACTTAAGGATTACACCTCGTAAATGTTTTTTTTTTATTTGTATACACAGCTTATAATAAGTTAAAAATACATATAACAGTGTCGTATATACCTATTAACATTTTTTCTGTACACCGCTGCATATCATGTTGCCATTAATAAACACAAAAATGAGGTAGGTTAGAAGATATTTCGCTCCCACCGACCCGAATGAGCGGTCGCATTCGTCGCTAGCCTGATTCATTTTTTGTAGAAGTGTGTGTGATGAAACCATTCTTTCTGTCGATGATGTCATAAAATGTTTCATTTTCGTAATAGTGAATTAGTCTGTTTATAAGTTAGTCAACTAGTGTAAAAAAAGTTAAGATTGGGATACTCATTCTCAAACGTTACTCTTTATAGTAATGTAATTATATATATATATATATATATATATATATATATATATACATTCAATTCGTCGTATATATTACGTAAGCCGAAACCTATCGTGCAGTTAAAAACTTAGGTACTCATTCGCCAATTTATAAAATAAAAATCTTGTTAACACATACATATATACACACACACAGACATACTTGCATATTACTCATAGGTATCAAAGTATTCAGTTTATAAGTAAAGTTATAGTTTTTCTATAATGATTATAATTTTATTTTCAACATTTTTGTATAATACTTAAAAGGTTATAGTTCTGTAATATTCCATTTTGTTGCATAACTTTTACGTACCAATTATAGAGGTGCGAGCGAGACCTCTTTATACAAGTACTTTGATCTCAACCTTTCATGAAATGTTAATATTTGAGACTAAATAAAGTTTTTTTTTACTTATGGTCATTTCAAACACTTATTTTTATATACAGTACTTACAGGTGCTTCTAAAAGTCCTCCTGCCAATCCCGTTAAAACCAGAGCACCATAGAGATGAGCAGTGTTTACAGAAAAGTGAAAAATTAACCACGCGATGACGAAAGGCAAATTGACCACTTGCATCGCGCGCCGACGTCCCAATGGGGTGGTGACTATCCCAGAGAGAGCGCATCCTATTGGCACTACAATCAAATTGATAGAACCTGAAACAATGCATTGAATCAGTCGAAGTTTACCCATCATTTATTTTACAGTAATTCAGTGTATTTTTTTATATCAGGTTTTTTGTAGCTTTTGAATTTTGATTGAATGCAGACAGTGGAATTATGTAACATTTGAGATGGTAGTGTCACGGCCTTGAAACTTTTTTGTATTCTACCACGTACATGTCTAAATATTTTTCTATATTCGTGATATGAACAATTGTATAGTTTATCATTTATTATTATTGAGACATATTTATTACTATTATCTGAGATTTATCATTAATTAAGTTTTTAATGCCAAATTGTAGATTGTCGTCTCGTTTACATTTTACAAACATAAACGAAGTGATTTGAAACCTCCAACTATTAAAAAAATGTAAGAACAGGTGACATAAACCCATAAGCCAAACTACGAAAACATTTTTGGGTGAAAATTTGTCGAAACTATTATCATGTTGGTTGGCACGTTATTGCATATCAGTATCCATTTCGGCTATATACTTTAGACTCTCGCCTCTGCCATAGTACGCTATACTAAACGGTAAGTTAAATGAATGAATTATAAATTATTATTAGTATTAGTAGAAATGGTAATGTACCAGTGCAAATCCGGACAACTATCAATCATTCGGAACAGACGTCGATCGATAATATCGAGATATTTATAAATAATTTAGAATAGCATCCTTTGCATATTAGAAAATATGTATCTGAAAGTCATTCACTGTCAAGGAGGTGTTGTCAAGGTTAGAGCAATGCCTACATTCAACAGTAACGTTTGAACAAATCATGCAAAAGCTTTTGTAATACATAATATAACAAGACCGTGACCTACCATCTTCTTATTAAATAGCTTCATTATCGTTTCCGCGATATAATCAATTATTCCTACTCAGTAGTTTTTTACTTTTGATTATTCTAGTAATTGTATATTTTGTGTCACAGACAGGTTGATATGGTACATTTCAACATATTGCAGTAAACAAACAATGTAATTAAGCTTGTGGTATCCTTAGTGGGTACCTAAATCCAGAAGCCATATTAAAAATTTGGGTTGGCCAAAATTCCCGCGCGGTATTAAAGCATAAATGGAAAACATTTAAAAAATAAATATCAAATTTTAATCAATTATGTATTGGCCGCATTCTTCTTTCTTTTGCCATCTTATGTGTAATTTTAGATTACCCCTTTCATAATAAATCCTAATTTTACTTGAAATACAATACACACTTACACTTCTTAAGTGTCGTTTGGTGTCCATTGTGTAAAAAACTGATACAAAGTAAAAATCTAAAGAAACTATGTCAGGAGAATACGGTGGATGAGGTAACATGTCACAACCTAACTGCAATCGCTTTTGAAGACATTATAAAGATCTATTTGGCATTGTTATGATGAACAATGACACTTTCACGAACATCATTTTTGGGCGTTTCCCATTAATAGTAAACTTTAAACTATCCCGCATATTCTCGATGCGCGTTAAAACATTATTTTCAAAATGACCATAGACAATGTAACATTTAAAAAAAAGTTCTTTTTTTCTTTAATGTTATACTAGTGGCAAAAACCGCACAGACTCTGGCTAACCCATTAAAAATGTCTTCACATAAATAACGTAACAAAATTTTTATGGGTACTTACTTATCCATGATATCTCTGAATTTTCTAATTTTAATACTTCTCCTTCTTTTGGATTCTTTACGGCAGGTATTAGAATTGTAGGAAAACCTAAAGTCATACCATATCCTGTAAATAAAAGTAACATAGACTTCTTTAGAAAAAAATAGTGAACAAAATTTCCTCAACATTAAAAATCAAAATCATCATATGCACAAAGTTACATAATATTATTTCGGCCCTACATGAGAGAGAGGTACAAGGCCAAGAGCCCTTCAAACTTGACACTTAGTCTTAAGATTTAAATTATTTTTTTAAACAAACCAACGTTTCGGACCTTTTACAGGTCCCATCGTCATGGTTGACTGAAATTGTAAAGTCCGAACAAGGCAAACTACCCTATAATTTTCACTAAGTATATGTACTTACAAAAGTTATTAATTAAATAGGTACCTTAGTTTTAATTTTCCAAGCAACTGTCCAATTTACGCTACATGCATTTAAAACATTACATTATTTTAAGGATATGATTTTTATTAAAATAAATGTATTATTAATCAATAATGGTAATTAGGATAAATTGAAATATATTGATTAGTGCTGCAGTCTTAGTCTGCTTGGAACTTTTATCTGAGGTATTACTGGACACTAAACTAGTCGTACCGAGAAACTGTCTTCCCGTTGAAATTAGGATGATTTTTTAATTTCAATTACCTCTTACATCATCCTGGGTAATAACGGACGGAGGTCAAATGCGCACTTTAAAAAAAAATTAAATATCATGTAGTTTCAAAAAAATACCCATACTCTAAAGGTTTTCCAAATATATGTGTCTTGGATGAATAAAGTCTAATCTATTTAAAAACTTAAATAGCGGCATAGAATAAAGTTCTAAAACTAGAACTCCACTCTATGCCGCTTGCAATAAGAATGGTCGAAAATCCAAGGTGTCAAGCTTGACTAACTACAAGATGTGCGTTTAATCAAAAACACAAATTTCAGACTTGACTTCTGACACTATACCCCACTTATACAATGTTTAAACAATTACCCTTAGCGGATAGACACAATTAAAGGAATACCTCATTATTGACAAACCGCAGACTCTCTTCATATTACATTAACTCACGATTACCACAATTAAGTTGATAAGTTGTAAGAACTTCCAAAGTAGAATGACCTTGTCCTCATTCGTTTCGCATTCGGCCTTCCGATCAAAGACAAAAAATAACATCACGCAAACAAATGAAGGTAGACTACATTTTTTTAAATTACTATATGAAGCAAAAATATTCCACGTATGGGTACGTGAATATTTCTATTTAGTTTATCGGAAGAAAACAGAGAATAATTATTGTTTTTGAACAAATGGTTTAGGTATTACGTATGTACAAGTATGTATTATAAGTGACTATTCACTGAGATCTTTTTAAGAAGTTAATAAGCTTGGGTAATATGATTATTTTCGACTTTTTACCTCACTCAACATAATATGGCTACTAAAATTTAGTGGTTTTAGGTACTATGAGACTCGATCAAAGTTACATAAGAACATTCTTTACATTAACGTCGATATCAAAACATCGTAGATAATCATCTATATTTCTTGACACTTTAGATTCAATGTTAAAATTTGAGGTAATCTATATACCAAATCAAAAAGTTTCTCAACTAGCTCTTCACTTAGCTGGTTAATTTCTAGACTTAGATGATAAATATCCAATGTACGACCAAATATTATGATATGATCAGGGCTGTATTGTAATTTGATTAAGTGCGGTTTATGAAACACTTATTTCCCATAAGAATTATAATTAAGGTACTGAGCAGTATTATAATAACGTTCGAGATGCACCTAAACTTTTATTGTCACCTAAACATTATGGCTTTTAATGATTCCGCATAAGGTTCAATTTATATTGCGGCGAAACGGAATGGATGCGAATTTTTGTGACGGTATTATACACGCATAATTAACTTTATGGTCAATTATGTAAGGTACTAACTAGGTACGACCCTAAATTTCTCGCGGAATGCGCAAGCATTCGCGAGAATTCCGTTCCGGCATAATTTAATTGAGCCTAATAGTGATTGTTGGATTAATCCCTTCGTAGTAAAATTGTGGATAAATAAATATACTGATTACTATACGGTGTGAAAACACTATTCCTAAAATTTTTACAATAGAAAATAAACACAAACTTACCTCGAAATTTTACAAGAAAACAGCTTTACATATATACCAATGATTTTTATATCAACTGAAGACGTATAATACGATATAATTTTTTCGAATGGCTTTTTTCATAAAAAAAAAAATATTCTATAATAAAGCCAGTGTCCCGGCCGCTCGACCCAAGCAAAATGAACCGTATTAGTGCGGGAAAAATTTAAATTCAAGGCGAGGTTCTATCGACTCTTAACAATAAAACTAAAACTAATTAAGATATTAAAAAACCGATTAGAGAGGGTAGTAGATGTCGTCTCACGGATTCCAGTCTCTTTATAACTTAATTTTGCTAAAAATATCGGTTGCGTTAGTTATGATAAGGGCAGAATAATTCACTTTACGACAATTTAAACGCACGTATATCAGTTATACTTCGTCCTTGATAGCGTACATTCACACACACTAAGTTAATTTGTAATGTAACTAATAAGTGATGAATAAAAAAGTCGTAAATTATCACAAGTGTGCACATATTCCATGTGTTAAAAACACATGAAATCAAATACACAAGACTACAATTTATGCATACCTACTAGCCCATAAGAATAGGTGGAATAGGTAGGGTATAATTTATTTTCCTTTTTAGAAATTCTAAGTAGAGTAGAAATTCAGTATCCAGATTTAACAGTTATAGGAGTAAGTGCATCTATGGAAGCGACTTTGACGATAGTTCAGAAATATTTGTGCTATTGAAGTAGGTATCTTAGCATATTAGTTTTGTGTTAAGATACTGTTTATTACTGCTGCTGCCCTCGAGATTTTACGCGTTTTTTTTTAATACTTAAAATCAGCATCCATATCAGCGTCCGCAGATGTGTAAAAAACCTGCATCAGGAACAACCCTGGCTTCAACCGTGTAATTGTCAAAATATTCCAATGACTTTAAATTACAATGGCGGGTACATTTTGCTCACACGCGTATTCGGTTTAGTTATTTAGAGAAAAAAACAAATGTTCAAACAAGCAATGCTTGCTTGTTTGAACAATTGTTTTTTTTAGTGGAAAGAAATATTATTTTACCTATTGAATTTATATAACAGATCTAAGAAAAAGAAAAAACAAAAGGCTCTTACCTAACAAAAGCAAATTCTTTACACTCACAGCAAGGATCTGGGGTAAGGCTGTTCTGAAGTTCTTTTTATAACCATAGTGATTCGTTTTTGATTCTATGTCCGTTCCATCTGGATTTTTCTTTGTAGAACTCATCTAGACTGCAGTGAAATAAACGACCAAAATTAAAAATTAACAACTAAATCAATTTATTGTCTTAATGGTGTAAAAGTCAGGAAAATATAATGAAATTTATTACAGTGCCATTACATGTGCCAAGGGACATACCACAGGGCCTCTGCAGTTTGCAAGTGTTCCGAGCGCGGCGACGCATTGCATTGCAAACGCTTCAAACTACTGAATCGACAAGGTGGAAATGACGTCGGGCTGCCTTAGATTTAAATGTAGTGTCATTTCATATGTTAAACACTAAGTATTTCAAACCCACCTCTAAAATAGGAAAAATGACAGTGTGACGTTGCCTCCAGTTGCCTCCAATCTATTTCAAACAGTTTCATAGAAACCAATAGCGTCGTCTGCTTCAGTCGTCTCTCGCAGCGCTCTATGAAAGGAATGAAAAGAAAAAGTTGTTTAAAATAACTTTAAAAAACAGATGTAAATACGATATGGGAACTTTGTTTGTAGTGATTTACCTAATACCTTAAGCAAGTATGCTTAACTAAATATTTTAAGATTTTCGTGGTTTTTAGCTAAATTATTACAACAGCTTATTTTACCACGGTATTATAACTTCTTCGTATTGTCCCGATATTTCGGAACACGCTCCATCGTCACGAATTCACTGGCCAGAGACGACTCTATGAACAGACATATCTGTGTAAATTGCTTATAAACACGCGTCTCACCGCCAATCATACCGCGCTTTCGCTTGATCCCCCGCCAACGTTGTAAACTTCCGATATAAATGTTAAGGAAGCAAAAACGCAAACAGATGTAAGTGGCGCAGTTGCGAAAGCAGAAGTAGAGGTAAGTTACATTGCTAGCTTACAACAGCTTATAGGCCGTTAGCCGTCGCTGTCCAGTTAATCCGTGACCACAGAGCGTGTAACCGTGTAAATGTTGGGATAATAAAAAGAAGCAGTCACACCTGTCTAAGAGATCAGTAACTAGAGGTAATTATATTTAACCCTTTTTGACACACTGGCTGGGTTTATAGGTAAACGTCAGCATTGAAAATGATATTGTTGTAGTTAGTAAATAAATATTATGTTTAGGTAGTCATGTGAGGAGGTTCTGTGGTCATGCCTTCGTATGATTGCCAGAAAGGAAGGCAAGGAACATTTTACGCAAACAATCACAAAGGAAGACGTAGTTTTATATCTCACGGTGTAGCAATAGTCGCGGAGTGGTGTGTAAATCCACGTTCATGGCTGCATAGATTACTTATTTCAAAATGGTTGCACGACACCTATGTTGGTGTATTTTGTGTTCGATATGGCCTCTCGTAGCAGGAAAAGGAATTATGCTACTTTATCAGCCGTTGGATATAAGCAACGAGTGTGTATTCTCCACAAGTCTGAGATACGATTTATCTTTCGGAATGGGATTGTCTGATACCATTTCTTTGGTAGGTAACTTCAATTTTAATAAGTGTACTTGGTAACAATTTTCGCAAAATAGTCAATTTTGGAGTCATTACCGTAAAGGTAGTCATAAAAACATGGAATTAGAATAATACCTATAATTTTGTTGGTTGCTCTTTGTCGCGGCCTCATCAAGTTTTTATAATGACTCATATAATCAGAGATCGTAATAGGCAGAATGGAAATAATTTACTAAACTTCAAGGTGATACAGTGGACAATACCACTCTGAAATTATCGTATTGTATTCAGAGATACCCAGGCGAAAAAAATACAACACCACACAATACCCACCTTCCAATCCTGTGGATTCTCTCTACTAAGGATGCACATAAGGATTTATCGATTCAAGAGCATGTCTATTCTGATCTCTGACGATTTTTTGTATTAATTTATTTCAATGTGATTTTTAAGCAAATCGAATCGTCTAGATCAGAAAGCAATAAACATATTTTTAACATCATTTAATTTGAACAAAACTCGATTTACAATAAATATTTTGTTGGAAATAGTTTATGCCCTCGATTTTGAGCATTAATGGGTTTTAACCCGATAGTGCGGTAGTGTGTTTAGAGGAATAATTTGGTTTTTTTTTTTCAAACAACCACACCAATCATCAGGTTTATCGGGAATTGAACCCGAGACCTGAATGCAAATAAAAATTGTAAGACATAAAGGATGTAACTACATTCGATGTTTTGCCTTTAATTTTTAACATCCAGGGTGTAGCGAATCACAGCAGTCGCTACAAATCTCTTTTGTATATATTTTATAGTTTCTTTAAGTTTTAGTTTTATATATAAATTCTAAATTTAAACGTGACTGTTTTTGGCGCCATTTCTTCACTTTTTGTGTGCTGTTTTACTTTGAAAGCTATACGTTTTTTCTAATAAATTAATTAGTTGTAAGTACGTTTGCTTTGGTCTAGCTAACTCGTTGTTCGCACCCACCCTTTACCCCATTCATACAGTCTGCTACACGGGGCTTCAAAGATATTTTTAATAATTACTGGAACATTATCAAATTCTTGTCTAAAGCAAACAGAAATCTCATAAATACGTCTTTCACATATTCACGCAATAAAATTGCTAATAGTAAGTGCATTTCATATAGTAGGTAACTATATAAATAAATTACAAATACTCTACCTACTACCCTAAGGTTGTCTGAAAGAGAACGTCCTTATACCTATAACAATGAACTCACTTAGTTGAGTGAATTGATTATTATATAAATAATAATCTATTAGGACGTAAGGTTTATGTGTGGTATAAAAATATTCTTATTGTATTGTAACATGGTAATTTATTACTTCCAGCTTTTTAGAACAATAGACGAAATAGACTACCAATGCCGTGTAGATATAGTCACAGATCAAAGCAAAGGTGTCTACCTGTTGTTAGTCATAAAGTATCCCAATTCACTAGGGGTGAGCTGCGAAATCAATCCGAATGCCTTCGCAGTGTTCAAAAAGGAGCATTGTATAAGGATCTGCGACCAAGTGGAATATAAAAAGTATCCGTCAAAATTACTTAAATTGTATATGACGGGTAGAGTGCGTTTTCGGTTTGTGAGTAACAGTAGCGTCAACGCCGATATCAACGTAAGTTCATAGAATTTGTGCCATTGACGTACGTGTTACCCTTTTGCTTAGTTTCTTGTGTAAACAGGTTATAAGTATGTTATAATTATTAATACAAAGATCGAACACTTAGAAAAAAATCCTTCGATCTGGCCGGATTCGAACCGACGTCTTCTAGTAAACCGTGCCAGACGCATGGCCAACTAAGCCACGGAACGAACAAGCGGACCTCACGAATTTTTCTATTTGCTTGTTGTCGTATCTTTGTACTTGGTTTTTTAACGACTTTTTGGCCGTGGCGCCATCTATGAGAAATCTATGAAAGTACTTCGTCGTTAATTTTTCTAAGTATTCGATCTTTATATTAATAATTATAACAAACTAGTGGAGTAATTTCAAATAAAAAATAATTAAATATCAATTAAATAAAAACTTAGACTATAAGTTTATAATTATAACGTATTTTATTTAAAAAAACTGACTTCAAAAGTTTGCTTACTCGTTTTTGCTGTGTTTATTTAAAGCGTTATTTAATATCTTAAATAACACACTAAACATAACGCACACACTCAACTAAGCCCCGCACTAGGGAAAACCTGTGTCTTGTCCTGTACCTGTGTCGTGGGTACCATGGACACACACATAAACAACTACAAATTACACCCAAACTCACGAGAGAAATAAATGTAGGCCATACAAATATTTCTCCCGGATTCCCGGGAATCGAACATGGGACCTCTGCGTGGCAGTCCGGTATGGTAACCGTTCGGCCACGGAGACAGTTATCTAAGGCAGGAATCGGATAACGGAAACCGAAAGTGGGTGGAATTCAAAACTGTATTTTTTGAGGTGGAATATTTTCTTCAAATTTGAATGGGACATGTTTCCCAACATAAAAATAATCATCGCAATCGGTTCTCAAAAATCGGAGTAATCGCGTAACAAACACACAAAAAAATACAGACGAATTGAGAACCTGCTTCTTTTTTGAAGTCGATTAAGAAATAGACATGGGCGCCGATAGACCAACTGACGGCGGCGCGCCGACAAAATAGTGTCGGTGGCGGCGGCGTTTCGGCGGCGCGAGAGCGACCCTAAAACGAATTTGTATATCGGTGTTCGATTTTATAAAAACCATTATACGAATACTTTTTCAAAGGAAAAAATAAAATAACGAATTTTCTATAGTAATCAATTTTTTACCAGTACGGTTAGGCTTTCCGATCGTACGCACGCGCACGCTTCCACATTGTGTATGCGTAGTGAAAATGGCGACGCCAGAAAATAACGACACTAAGGACACTATAACCTGTGCGCGCACAGGAACCTTGCAAGTTCAGGTTCTGACCCCAGATCAGCCACTGTACAGGGTTCTCACAGACCTCTATTACTTGACTTCATCCGGTTCTCCGAGAGGCTAGTGCCTCGGGTGAGCCGCCCCGGGTGCACGTACAGTACCCTCCCTATTTTTCAGGTAGGTACCGGAGATGTAGGATGTAGGTTGCGCATTGCACAACTAGCAGTTGCCACCGCTAAGCCGTCACTACCAAATTTCCTCATTGGTGGCGGAGCTGTAAGGCACGCTCACTTCCCGACGCCGAAAAACGAGGTCTCTCCAGTTCCCAATAACCTAAGCGGCTAGAGGGACCGGAGGATATCTTGCTTGTCCTCTAGCTCTCCGGGCTAGTGCCGGAGTTGCCAGTCGCAGTGTCCTTCGACAATGTCCGGACATAGCTTCCAACTTAAAGGGCAACTCACGTGCTCCGCGCGTCTCCTCGCATACAGACCCTCAACTAGACGCGCTAGCTGCTCACGAGACAAACGCACACATGCAAAACCGGGGCAGACAAACATGTCCGTCTATGTAGCTAACCACAAACCCCAGCGAGTCCATACCCAAATCCGGGTCCACCAGAGACGGGCGTCTCTGGTGGACCCGGATCACTGGCGGAGGGCTTTGCTCTGACGCGCGCTGTACCTTGGGCTTGCCGTCGAGCCCGTAGTCTCTCCGGAAAACCCTATCTCTCGGGTCGGTAGATAGGGACATCTCGAGTCGCTAGATAGGGACAGTTGCTTCATCTGTACTAAGCACAAGTTCGGTCGTGCATGGAGGACTGTTGCCACCTTTAGGGTGGCTCTGTTACATACCAACTGGGCACCTTTGATTCAATTGACAACCGCGCCAATAAGATTGTAGGTGGCTCGGAATTAGTGGAGGCGAAGCTGCAGAGCCTTGAACACCGCCGTAAAGTTGCCAGGTTATCGGTATTTTACAGGATATATCACGGAGAGTGTGCGATGGAATTACACGATTTAATTCCGCTATTCCCCTTTCCATCACCGGGGGTCTAGGCGTTGACTTGGGTTCCACCTCTATGTTGTGGATATTCCAAAGATTCGCACAAAGCGTTACGCTTCCACATTTATATGGCAAACGGCTATAGAGTGGAATTCCCTGCCTGCAGACTTGTTCCCTGAACGTTATAACTTGAGCCTTTTCATGGCAAAAGTGAATAGGCGTTCATCCATTGTCGACCTCATCGTCACTTTCCATCAGGTGAAATGGAGGTCAAACGCGAACTACATTTTTTTAAGAAAAAATAAGTTTTATCTTAGAAAAGTCATTTTCTGGCGTCGCCACTTTCGGATCGGAGCGCCTGATCGAACTGAACGGCGCGCCGATTGCATTTATCGACGGCGGCGGCGCGCCGGCGCGGCGCTCATGTCTATTAAGAAACAACAAGGTACTTAAAGTTATGTCTCTAATTCCTCGATCCATGACTCCCTGTGTATTCGTATATTTCAAAATACGATGCAAATTATAAATTATAGATCAAAGCTAATTCGAAATTTATCTTTATTTTTACAGGCCCATTCTTACTTAGTTACCGCCACATCCGCGCGTCTTGAAGGAAATAACTCGTGCAGGTAGGTAAACAGTGCACTAGCACTGATATAGATAGGCACTAGCCTACAGCGATATCAGCTACTAGTGTTCCCAACGGAATAATTAAAAATCCTAGTGACATTCTTTTTTTGTATTCGCACCCTTCGGAGTTGAAGCCCTAGGTCGGTCGATGGGGTCTCAAAACCTTTTTTACTATAAGTTGATTTCCAAAAAATTTACGACATATACATATAAACTTTTGGCATAGTATATTAAGCAGTGATCGGAATTAAGTTAACTTACCTAAAGTATAACGTTTTCTTAGTATGGACTCGTCAAAATTGCATATAAAATTTCTTTTCTTTACATTCCAGAATATAACTAAATCTTAATAGGTAATAACAATTTGTCGCCAATGTATTATATATTTCAATAAATAATAGGTAAGCATATTGAAATTATATTTCAGTTCCGAGAATTTCCGTGACTTGTAAAAAGTCCACATTATTCTTTAGTTTAACTCAGTTAACTCTTTCAATTCCGATTACTGATAATAAGACAAACGTAGCCACGCGGCTGGTATATATGGCCGGCTGGTATATACGGTTGCACAGGGCGGGTCGCACGCGCCATTCATTTTAGAATTGAAGCGTTCGTTTTTACAATATTTTTCTGTGTCATATTCATATTCTTTTTATTTATAAATGTATAGTTACATACAAACTCGCATTGAATTCTTCTTCATGATCATACGCTGATCATATTATTTGAATGTAGCACGAGAATACTGTAATGATTCACTTGATTTTTTTAGATTATGTCTTGTAACCTGTAGCCTCCTAAAATAATAGTGTGATCACCATTTTTTCATATATCTATGGTGACAACCCTACGCTGTGACAGACATTGACATTAGGTATTGACGCCACGAACAGGCGGGTAATGCACACTTGTATTGTCTTATTACATATTATGCCTAAAGTTTACAAAATACTCTATTATGGTGGGCGGAAATTATTGTATTTAAAAAATAACAAATTATGTAGGTATTACGATTTGTTACAGAGCTAATGAAACCAAATGTGCTATTGAAGGAAAGATATTTTGTTTCACCGGCGGAGTGGCTTGTGACGGAATTGAAAACTGCGGTCTCGCTGCATGTTATGTATTCGTAATTTACATCACGCAAAAGATATTTCTAATTGTTTATTTCAGTCGATGTCCATAGATGTTAGTTACAAAAAATATAGTCTATATTAGTAATGAAAACGATCATAACGTTCAACAGAATCAAATTACGATTAAATAAAATCAATCAAATTATCAACCAGTTCAAACTAAAAACTAAATTCAATTGCACACTTACATTATATTATAATTTGACCCTCTGGAATCCATGTGAACTCGATTCCTGTGCTTCCACGTGTCCAAATGTAGAAATATATAATCGAGTCGATGTTCGATTTTTTTTTATGAAGACAAGTGGTAATAACAGTTCAGTGCCACTCAGAGCTCACTAAATCACAGAGATCTGAGGGCATCGAGTATATAACCAGAAATAGAGACGAAATGTCATTTAATTTGTTTGGAAACTGTTCTGCCATATCATTACTGTGACAACTGCGCTCCGATTGGCTAGCCCGAGTTCGAAACTATTGACGGTCGTCGTCAACTGTTTCACTTCAAATCGACCAGTTAACTTGAACTTTGCTATAATGGACGAAAATTGCATAATTACATATTTAATATTTAATTACCGATGAAATGTGATTCCGTTTGTTTTGTAATTAGATGTTTTGCTGTTGTTCCAACACCACCTAATAGAACAGCACGGCATTGTTAGAGATATTATCTTTATTACAATAAATACAGAATATTTTTTGGAATATACGGAGACGTACGCACAGGTCAGTAGTTGGCCTGTCTATATTTCAGTGCAAACGGGAGTTGATATTTATAAGAGCTGTATCGCTAATGTGTTACCAGGAATATATGGCCCTTATTTCGTCTCTATTTCTGGTTATATACTCGATGTTCGATGGGCACTGCAACTGTACCCGTCACTCTGAGAAATAAGTTGACAAGTCCCATGTGCCTGTAATTTGACTAGCACCCTCATACTTCAAAACCGAAACGCAGTAATGCTCACATTACTGATAGGCGGCAGAAATAGGTAAGATGGCAGTATTTCCCTAGACGAACTCTTTCACAAGGAGTTCTACTGACACTACTAATTGATAGCATTTAACATTAGTACTACGACATTCAAGTATTAAATTCAAAATTATTGACGCAAAGGTCAAACAAATACAAAGAACCAGCGTTTGCTGCCACACTGTGGGTACCGCTCTTACTGAGCTACTCACTAAACTAAACTTTGAAAATAAATATTAGCAAGAAATATATTTATTTAATTGACTTTAACCGTTCATTTTGGTACAAGCAATAATAAAAAAAAAACTTTTTATTGATACATTATTCTATACATAAAAGCAGTCGCCGTGGGCGAAATTATTACTTTCATTTTGTATTAAAATCAACCGTGACGATTAGCCTTTAATGTTTTGTAACTTTGTAATAGAAACTTTTTTCTCCACGTGCAAATGAGATATGGTATTTTGTATTAATTAATTATTTCTCGGTGATGACTTTGAAATTTATTTATTCTTCTTTAATACAGGTATGATGAGAGAGTTTCCGAGTGCGTCAGAAAACGAGAAACCCTTAGCATCGCTCCTATAATAGCTGTGATTGCTTTGATTTTTTGTTCCTTGTTGACCGTAACACACGTTGTGATGAAATGCATCCCGTCCGTCGCCGGCGCCTTCTTTATTTACAATGCGAATGAAGACAACAGGTTCTGCTTAAACCCCGTGTTTATATCGCCTGAAGGAGCTGTCGTTGAAAATGAGGAACGGAAACTTTCTATCATACCGGTACGTAATGCATATTTAATTCTAAAATTTAGGATGTATGTACCTGCATTATAAGCAGCAGCTACACCAACCATGAAGACTATTCGTATCATTGGCTGTGTAGTCATGTGCGACAGGTTTTAATAGTGGTGCAACAGACCTCTGCTTCTGCTTCCGCAACTGTTGGAAGTTCCGCACGCTTTTTCACATCTTTTTCCGTTTCTGCTTCCACAACTTTCATAACAGAACTGTTACGGAGTTTTATAACGTTTGCCATGGATCTCAGGCGCGCGCGCAATTGCTTAATGGTAATTTGGCGTTTTCTGTCGTCAACGGACCTTCACTGGCCGTCCATTAGAAACGGTATTGGGTCGGTCGCGGATCCGTTCATGCCGCGGCCAAGCGATGGTAATTATGAAGCTAAAAACAAGCCCTCTTTGGAACTATATCATTTAAATCTTTATAGTATTTACGCTTCTGCTTCCGCATCCGCTTTTGTTTCCGTCTCCGCTAAGATTTACGTTTGACATTTGTTTCCGTTAGAAGACACTTCTCTTGCACCACTAGTAGTAATATATGTTAGCCCATGTGACTAACGACTGTCGTTCGCTTTTGTGACGGTTCATTGGACAAACGTCGCAACCTTTATGACATAGTATAATAAGCCAAGTGTGATAATTCCATACAAACATGGCAGCGCGATTTGTATGTCTGCGCGCCCGCTGCGTGGCATGTACGGACGCATAATTTCGCGATGCACACGCGTTGTTCGTCACACGCGGAAGAAAAAACAATGGAAATGTCTTAAACTTCGATTACTATACCGCTGTCGCCATAGATATAGAAAAAAAGGGGAGATATGTAATGACGCTATGTAAGATCGGGTACCGATGTCGCCACTTTTTAGCTTGTGTGCAATTCAGACTTTACGCTCTATTATCTACTACTATAACTTAAAGATTTTGATTGGGTACGGCTTAAAACGTAAAAGCGATGTAAAACAATTTTAAAATTTAACAAAATTAAACTTACATTCACTTGAATAAGAGTTATATTACAATATTTCAGTATTTTTTCATCCTGGTTCAACCATTCACCAACAGGTGGCGTTTTAGTAAAAATACTACTAGTATATGTATAATAGCTAACTATTACACGTTAGATGGCGCTGAAACTTATTTTTCGTTACACTAAAAACTCACGGAGCGGTTTTCACCCGCGTCTGCCGCGGGACCGCGTAGAATGTAACAGTTAAGTATGTAAAATTAGTAGCACATTTCACGACGCGTTTTACGCTTGTAGTGGAGACGGTTGCTCGCGGTTGCCGCGGCGGGGTACTATTAGAACCGCGTAGGACGCGATGACCCGCGCGTTTGGCGGCCGTCGTCGCCCGCACACTTTGGCGGTCGGTTCAGGCGCAATGTGGTGCAGGCGCAAGCAGGGTAAGTTCTCTATTAACCGCGCGACTTGCAATTAACTTCCACTAACTTCGCGGTCCGTTCCGCAATAGCAATGGTTTCGTGCCCGCAACCGCGGCAGCTACGTGCCGGCACAAACTTGCAGGGTCGTAAGTATTGAAATAAAACCGCTGTATAGCAGCACCGGCGGCCGCGGATGTAAACCGCTCCGTGAATTGTTAACCTTATTAACCTTAAACTGACGCTACTCAACGGAGGATGTGGTCCTACCTAATCGATAGTTGGAAACCATGTGGCTGTTTTTAATATTAAAAAAAAATATTTCAATTTCATACTATATCTACACTGGTACTGGTGTATTATTAAATTAATATATTAATATAAATTATTATTATTTTCTTAATGGCGGCCACTAGGCTTGGACCAGTGTCAGTTTTATAAGAATAATATAAAAAATAAGGCGATAGTCGCCAGTGTCAATTTTCCATTGTACGTTACCACGGGTTGCTGAAGCTGTCACTGTCAAGAGTAAACTCGAACCATCATTGAATTTAATAAATTAAATTATGTTGTTTTTTTATGAAGGATTTATGTAATTTTCTATAATTGTTTCTAATTTATTTTGCATGCACATGTAAAATAAAGCCGATTTGATTTTATTTATTTTTTAAATGCATTTGCTATGGAAATTGAAACAAAGTCAGAAATAATAATAAGAAAACCAATCATTCGATTTTCCTGCAGCTCCAATCCAAACTTCTTTTATTTTAAACTCATTGGAAGAACTTAAAAATTTAAAATACTCTACGTTTAATCTACGAGTATAACGGAATTTAAATATCTTAAATATCTAAACATTGACTTACAATTATATGGACGTCGGGTCCGCGCTAAAAAGTGTCCGCACTTGTAAGGCGCTAAAATCGTATACAGAGCGCCAAACTCCGCTTTAGTCTTCATTTGTTCGACTGACAGCGCGATACTGCGATGACATTACAATTTAAATTTCGAATAGGTTGACTTGGGACATTTTTTTCGTGGTTTTTGTATTAGACCCGTCGTCCATTTATTTGTAAGTCAATGTATCTAAAGCACATAAATTCTTCAAGCAACAGCAACATCCAAAGTGACATGAAATTGAAACGGTTGCCCGAAATATGAGTTGTGTTAAAGTTACTCGAAATAAAATGTTTACTAATAATAATAAAATAAAAGAAATCAACGTGAACGCTTTTCGCTTCGATATTTTAGGGACTTTAATTACAAAAATTATAGTAAGAAATTCAAACATTTCAGTAAAAATTTATTGTCGATAAACATCAGTCTTCGTAAATGAACATTACTATATTTGAGTCTAGAAATTTCTATGGAGACAAAAGGAAAACATTGAATAATAATAGAAATAGTAACTAAAAATGCAAATAGCCGGTGGAATGTTGTCTCACTGGTTTTAAAATTTTTGTTTTCACTCCAATTTTTACAAGGTGTATCGCTACAACTTGGCATTTTCACGTTTTACGAGAGATAATAATAATAATATAATAACGCACACACTCAACATAGCCCCGCACTAGGGAAACCCTGTGTCGCGGGTGCCATGGACACACATATAGACAACCACAAATTACACCCAAACTCACGAGAGAAATAAATGTAGGCCATACAAATGTTTCTCCCGGCCCCGGAATCGAACCTGAGACCTCTGCGTGGCAGCCCGGCATGGTAACCGTTCGGCCACGGAGGCAGTTAAACTCAAATCTTGTATGTATAACGATCGCCATGTCACTGTGGCGATGTTTGTAGGCGTGTCACCTCGATATGGTCATTTTGACCATATCGAAGCGACGCGAACCACGCCCCCATACCGTATCTCCCCTTTTTTTCTATATCTATGGCTGTCGCCAAACACACCTAACAAATGCTAAGCTCTTCTTGCTAAGTTCTTCTTCTTCTTCTAAAATCTTGATAATGTTTAGTTCTACTTTTTAATTTAAAAAGATATAACAGGTTCTGGACTATTAATATAATTTTAACTTTACCCTTTTGGCATATCGTTGAAAGTTCAATTAATTTATTGCAAATTACGACGTTTGTATTGAAATTTTATTCAACGTGCTACTATTTTGCGGTCACTAGCTGAACCACGACGAAAGACGAACATATGTACGAATAGAAAGTAATATCTTCTCGTCCACAGATGTCTTCTTTAACGCACACGGTGCATAATAAACTTTATTTCGATCAATTGAGTTTGAAATTAACTAAAACACTTATGAAGCATTTTTTCGCTAAGCTTTTATTCGCTACTTCCGTGTAAAATTCGAGATGTTCTTCAAAAGATAAAACTCGACCATTATTTCACTGCGATAATGTTTACTTTCGTTTGTTACAATACAAAAAAAAATCTATTCTATTCGAAAAAATTGATTTATTAAAATAAGACGTACGGTTGATATAAATAACAGATAAATTAAATAATTATATAATTAATAACAGGTAAATTTTTGGTGCAAGTCCAAAACAGCACTATAAGATATTTTTCTGCGATTTTAGAGAATTTGCGCGAAAGAATTAACATAACGTGGCGAAAATGGCAGACTGAGCTCAACTAGGCGCTACGCTAACAAATGGCACGCGTGTGCGCGCACTAACTAACCACTTATAATGTATTTATTGTTCTAGGTCGTCTCATACGCCATTCATGCGAATGTGTGTGTTCGTACACGACGCGCGATAGTCGCACAAACATATAAACTTTACTGCTGAGTATGAAATGACTTACCATACTTGTCTTAGGGTCGTATTCTAGAACTCTACTCAATGCTCAAGTCAGGACTTGAGTATGATTTAAAGCACTGAAAATCATACTCAAGTCCTTGCCATTAGGGTCGTATTTCCAGTGCTTGAAATTATACTCAAGTCTGCTCAAGTCCTGACTTGAGCAATGAGTAGAGTTCTAGAATACGATCCTTATAATATATGTCAGCTTTATTTACAAACTAGCTGTTGCCCGCGACTTCGTGCAAGTAAATTTTTTACCAAATTTGAAGTAAATTACATTACGCCTTAATAGTTCCCGTACAAACTTTGATACAAATACTTCGAAGTTACCCTTTTTAAGGATTGATTTACACTTCACAGTACACACCTAGAGAGTCATCATACTTATAACGTGGAATCAGCCTACGCCGGCCAGATAAATGTTTTTTTTTATCTTTATGCCCTTACCATAAGAGCAAAAAAGACGTTGCTCGTTTTACTTCGGAAACGCACATCTTTTTCGGTGTTTTTCCAACCGGCTTATTGCGATAAGTGTGATAACTCCCTAAATGATGTTATGTTGCGCCATCACGCTAAGTTTAGATTATATATTAAAAGAAATAACGAAAAATTTAACTGAGCTATTTACCTTATTGCTTAACAAGGCGTTGGAGACAAGTTCATCATCGATTGACTGCGATTCAGAAGATTACGAAAAAAGATTGAGTTGCAAGTTTGAAAGAAACTTTAAGGTAAGTTACTATGGACGTTTTTTATGGCCGTATTGTGGTTTTCAAACCTCCAAAATGATAAGTTTTATGATTTTCCTAAATTATACATATATTACACAGTTTTTTTTTTAAATGGGATAGTATGGAGAAATCCGAAACCATACAACATACAAGAAAACTGTCTTAGGAACTTTTTGTGTCAACAATTTTGGCACGGTCAATTTTTTGGTCAAGCCTGAGTTGGCCATAAAAATGAATAAAATTTATCAAAATTCTTTTTTAGCGCTGATCGACTCAGTTTTATGTATGGACCATTTCATTGTATGGACCAAAAAAAATCGGGACAGCAGAAGTTGGTCAAATTTCATAAAATATTTCTCATACAAAATGTATAAAGTTGACTAATTTTTAAAATGTTGATAGAATCTGGTATTTATCGATTTTTTTCGTCTCTTACAATTAAATGGTCCCCTTATGAAACTGAGACGATCAGCACTAAAAAATTTTTTGATCAATATTATTCATTTTCACAGCTCCCGCTTGACCAAAATGCTTTCACAAAAAAAGACTTAACAGTTCTTATGATTCCTTGTGTATTCTATGATTTCGGATTATCCCCACACTGTCCCATTAAAAAAAAATACTCTGTATAATGATTTGCTAAAAATTGGGCAACAATCCGTACCTAATGTTTATGAAAAACAATTCAACAACATAGGCAGCCTAGCGGTTAACATTGTGGGTGCTATTTGACGAGGTTCCTGGTGGTTCCCGTTAGAACCAGTTTGGGACACGAACTTTTTTAAATTGGTTCTAGTTTGAATGCTCTGGGTAGAGCCCCAGAGTTAATTCCGTTGCTCTAATACTCACAGTACAGGGAATTAGTTGGAGACCGAGGCAATTGGTGTGGTTGTTTGGCACATTATTAACATATTTTTGTCAATATTATTAACATTAACTTAGGCAAATTCGTTTTGTGAAAACTTACTTAGCTCGTCATTGTTGCTTACTCGACTTATTATTGGTTTTTTAAATAGATTTTTACGGTTTTTTACCACCGTGATATTTAATTTTTATCTAAAATAACGCTGAAAGCAAGAAAAAACTCTATATAAAGATGTATGACAAACACATTCTATTTTCTGCTGACTCAACCTGTAGCCCAGTTGGCAGAGCGACGCTACGGTATAGCGTGGTCGCAGGTTCAAGTCCTGTCAGGTCGAAGGAAATTTTCTTTGTGTTCGATCTTAGTATTAATAGTTATAACATTTTATACATTCCCGCCTCACCTTCGTCAGTCACAATACATAGATTTAACCATGACACATATTGCAGGAGAGGTCAAAGACTCCCAAGAAGAGTATAGTCAGGGACATGACGATCAAAATTGGCGACAGGCTTCGTTCTGCTGCCGGCCTGATAGTGCATCATGGAGAGAACAAGCAATGTTCCAAGTCCAACAAATAATTATAAAACTACACAACATTACGTACCCTTGGTATAATAATGTCATATGTGATCATGCGTCAAAAAAGTTGTCCTTTTGCGAATGTGGCCTTATTACCCTTATAAGGGTGCGATTTTAACCAAATATTACGAAGTAAACCGTAAGTTTAGTTTAATTTTAAAATAGAACGAAAGCACTTTATTAAAATTCCTTTTGATTTAATGAACTTATTATTAAACCGATAATTTTGTACTTACCTTGTAAAATTACCTTAAGTAAATATATTGTAACATCGATAATGGTTTCCTTACTTTATTAGCCACATACATTGCTTACAGCATTGACTTACATTTATTTGTAAGTCAATGGCTTACAGGAATATTTTTACATACGCCCGTGACAAGATTCCAAAGTCATTATGAAAAATATATTGAAAAGGGCACGTTTTTAAACGGTAAATCGATGGATAATTTAATCTGTTCTGAGCTATGCAAAAAAAATTTATTTGTATAAAATACGTTTATAAATATTTTGGGTTAAATATGTTGTGCCTTAAAACTAAGACTAATGAGCATTGAAAATAAAATTTAGATACTAATTTTTAAACTTGTTTTTTCATTTCTTTGATGATCAAATAATATTACTCACACAAAAATATACAAATTACATTCAGCCTAGTAACTTTTTCCACTTTTATATTTTTCATATAAATACGAGCTGTGTATATTTTTATTATTTTTTTTTCAACATAGCCCCGCACTAGGGAAACCCTGTGTCGCGGGTGCCATGGACACATACACAGACAACCACAAATTACACCCGGCCCGGGAATCGAACCTGAGACCTCTGCGTGGCAGTCCGGCATGGTAACCGTTCGGCCACGGAGGCAGTTAAACATTGAATGCCACTGAAGACGTGTCAAGTCCCTAGTCCTTGTTAAGGTACCGTGATGGATTATATTATACCCTTTAATGCAACATTATCGGGTGTGGGCACTATAACTTACGAAACTTTTATCTCAATTGGATAAACAGGTAATAATGGTTTACTCCAGCTACTTTCACAGGTTATTGACGAATGGCACTTTGCTTTAGGATATTGCCGTCAATATTAAAAGTAGTGATGGGCCTAATGGAGATTTCAACGAATACGAATAGTCGGCCGAATATTCGGTTCGGTAATCTTTTTACCGAATATTCGGCCGAATAATTCGGTAGGGATTGCCGCGCTTTGTCTTGAATTATAAATTTAAAAGTCGGTGCATGTTGAGCGAGCGACTCTTCTGCCCGCTTACCCCACCCCCGCATCCCCGCGTCTTTTTATTGCATGTAGATATAAGGAAAAGCATTACATTTCTATCACCGTTCTAAATCTAGCCTTCATTTAATGCGTTTCTTGAATATTCTAACTTTTAAATTGTGTCACCAACTGTGCAATTCTTTTCATGTCAAATAACTATATATACTGTTACTTAATTTGTGATTAAAATATATGTATTTTAAGGACTTGAATCACATTAAAATAAATAAACGAATTAAGTTTATATCTGTCACTTTTATTCATTCTCTCACTTTGTCTTGACAGACGTGCAAAGAGGAATCTATAAAAAAATATGTTCATTTGTATCTATGTACGTATTATTAGTTAATATCGTAATAATAACCAATAGGTTAAGTATGTAATGTACCTAAACGATATAATTTTCCGCAAAAGTATGTTCGGCAGAAAGTTTAGCATTTTTACCGAATAACCGGCCGAATACGAGTGTTCGGCCCACCTCTAACACTGTCTTGCAAAAACGTGTGGTAAGACAATTTACAATCGGTCTTTAAAAGAAATTAAAGTCTTTTACAAATTAACATTCTTACACTAATGTCACGGTACATTTACGAAAAATATGTAATTTATATAGAATAGTATTTTTTTATAGTGACAGACATAACATTTATTATACGGAATAAAAATAAACTAGCTGTTCTTGACCGTCGTTTTCACAAAGTCACAAATATATTTACGTGACAATGTATGTATGTATACGTTTCTGGAATAAGATTCCGGTTGATATTCAGAAATTACCTAATGAAACAAAAACTTTATAATAAAGTTATTCAGCTTCTGTTTAGCTTCTGTTCAGTTTAGCTCTTACAGGTTGTCTCGATGTATATATACTTGAAATAACAATTACACATATAGTGAATGATAAATGTGTACACATATTTATTGATTTATTTATGAAATAAAGATTATTAGACTTGGACTTTGAATGGAATGCATACCGGGCAAACATACAAAATTTTTATTTTAAAATATTTATAAATGAGTGACATGATGAGCATACAGAGGTCTTAATTCACAAAGACACCTCTAAACCGAAAAATTATAGCACATAGAGGTTACAGAATAAAAACCATAAACACATTTATAGTGGTAAAATAAGTGCGTTTGTTAGAGATATAATTTGATTTAGTTGGACGCGTTTAATTTATTTGGAGAAGCGACACGGTGCCTACTTCCTCTCACAGTGAACGTCGTCGAACAAAATAAACCTTCACCTCAATTGGCCACGTCTGCAAGAGCATTACAGCATGCTAGCGGAATCACAATTTACCAATTCCGTTCCAACCGCAAATACAAATTTGATAATTAATGCCTATAGCGTACAACACAAATTATTTACAAGCTCTGTCGAAATACCTATTATCACGATTACCTTTCTTTTATATAAATTTGAAATAAAATATCGAAAAATCTGTTGCAAAGGTTACATTATAAATTAATTATAAAATAATAATTTAATGTATCCAACAAAACTGGATCAAGACAATTTACATAGGTCCTCTTGAATACATAACTTTAATTTTCGTTCCTACAAAGTGGTGGGTATGACAAAATATTATGTAGTTTGTTTGTTTTACTTCATTATATGGAACTAATCCGTTCCAGTACCTACATAACATACGTAAAGAAAGTCACAATTAAGTATAGTCACGTTTTATATAAACATACCAGTTTGAATTAGCTATTTTAAATTGTTTATAGTACCCACCAAATATAGTTAATATGTTATAGCAGAATTTAAATAAATAATGAGGTAAACATAAACAAAATAATTAGAATTGGAATTAAATATACTGAAATAAATAGATACGATAAAAAGTTTATAAAATTTGTATAATTTAGTAAGTAAATACAGATAAATAAACCGTAACTGATGATGTAACCGTAGACTCACCTGTTAAAATATACACAAACACAGTAGGTAATCAAATAAAAGTAAACGAACATGAAGTCGAAGTGTTAACAACAAACATACACTCGCACAACGGTTCGGAGTGTTGATTTGCGACTAACTGCAACAAGCCTTGATACTTGTACGGACTATTGCCAACATCGAATGATTTGACAACAACCGCGAACACTAGGCAGTTTTACTTCGACCTGCAACGAACAACGGGTGAAGACCGTCACTCACTTTATGCGGCCATTTAAAACCTATCGATGCCGCTGTCAAACTTCATAGATGAAATGGTGAATAATGTATCATTCCATCTATGCTTTTATTGCTGCCATCAAGATAAAAAATTAATTAAAAGCTATTAGACTTCGGAGAGAACTGTGAGAGCTGTGTAATGGTATTTGTTGAAAAGATAAGGTACACGTGTACTTTGCGTTATTATGAATTTGATAAAATGTTTCGCAGCATTGGAAAATGAGCCAAAAATGTAACAAAGTTTCACAACTAAGCGAAATTAAAGAATAATGAATTTACAATGTTAATTAGTAGCAAATGACAGTAATATCAAAGCTTCATGATTAGCAATGAATGCAATTAATGTCATTTACCGTGTAACTTTAAAGAAACATACTTGAATCTCTTATATTCAACTTCAATATCAAGCCATATCCGACCTATATTTACTACTTGTGGTCTCAACTGGTTCTATTTCGGTTGATATAGGGTCGTAATATTGTGCCCTTTTATAGTTTCAAAATTACATGGTCTTTTTCTTCTCGTATCGATGGCGTACAGGGTCAAGAGCACGTCAAGCTTGACACTTAAGATTTAAATCCAACTCTATGCCGCTTATGATAAGAACGATCCAAAGTACAAAGTGTCAATCTAGACGTGCTCTTGAATGTACAACGTAAAGCTTGCCATTGTGGTGAAAGAATTTGCTTACCCGCGTAAGGTAACCTTCTCGCAACAGTTTCAGATGGTGCGCACATGCAAAAAACAGCAATGGAAGTGTCTTAAGCCTCGATTACTGTTAGAACCGATGTCGCCAAAACTCACACATTCTTAATATTTGAAACACTACAAAATCTTGACATTGATTGGTCGTCGTTTCAAATTTTAAAAAGAAATAACAAATTCTGGATTAATATAATTTAAATTACCCTGTTGGCATATTGTAATGGGTTTAAATACTTGGGATCTGTACTTAGCGCGTCCGGAGACATCGACTGCGACGTCAGAGCCCGAATCGCAGCCGCTTGGGCAAAGTGGCGTGAGGTGACTGGCGTCATTTGTGACCCCAAGATGCCGGTTAAGCTGAAAGGACAGGTCTATAAATCCATCATTAGGCCTGTCCTTTTATATGGCAGTGAAACGTGGCCCGTACTTGAGCGCCATAAGCAGGAGCTGCGTGTCACGGAAATGAAAATGCTGCGCTGGATGTGTGGAGTTTCACGGAAAGATCGTGTCAGAAACTCCCGCATCCGCGGCGGCCTTCACGTCCGTGACATTGCAGATAAACTGCAAGAAAGCCGCCTACGTTGGTACGGCCACATCTTACGGAAACCGGCACGCTACATGGGAAACAAATGTCTGGCTATGCCACCTCCGCCGGGCCCCGGCAGAAGGGGCAGACCCAAGAAGTGCTGGCTTGACGTCGCCAAGGGTAATATGCGTGCCAATGGTCTCACCACTAAGGATGCCGAAGACCGTGCAAAGTGGAGGAGAAAAAGCAGGAAAGCGGACCCCGGGCTCCGCAGCAACCGGGACAACGCTGAGATGAGAGAGAGAGGCATATTGTAATGGGTCGCAGACGAGAAAACAAATGATTGTATTTCGCGACAGTAATATATTTCTATAATAATACAATATTGAATGCTCGAGGAATGCTCAAATCTGAATGACTGCTTTCCGTACATCAACTAGGGTTTTTATATAAATAAAATATATTAGAAAGTCATCAATTAACAATTAACAAGGAATCTAGTCATTGCATCACAAACTGCATCATTTTCTAGAATCTTCGGAATTTATCATTTAAATAACAATTAAATAGCTATAATGTGGTTTGAGGCACATTACAATATCGTTGAAAGCTCAATACCATAAATATCTATTATTACAAGTTACGATGTTTTGGTATTACATTGAATTTCAATGAATATGCTGCCATCTAGCGGTTTGTTGGTGAACGACGACGAATTGGATTTATTAATTTAGTTCTCCAAATAAGAAGCGACCATATTGCAGGAACATGCTTTACTTTCGTTTCTTGTAACAAAAAAACTATTTCGATAAACAGATCATTTAAATTTTATTAAAATAAGACTTTCCGAAAATGCGAAATACGGTGGTAATATTTTTAGTGCGGCTATCATTTTTTCACTACAAAACAGCGCTATAAGGCGTTTAGAGAATTTGCACGAAAGAATGATACAACCATACCATACAAAGTGAAAATGGCGGACTAAGACTAAGACTAATAATTACATTGCCATTGCTTGTCGTGGTATTCCTTAAGTGTAGAGGCACTAGTATATAAGCTAAAATATTTAATAATAATAACGCACACACTCAACATAGCCCAGTACTAGGGAAACCCTGTGTCGCGGATGTCATGGACACACACATAGAGAAACACAAATTACACCCAAACTCACGAGATAAATAAATGTAGGCCATTTCTCCCGGCCCGGGATCGAACCTGGGACCTCTGCGTGGCAGTCCGGCATGGTAACCGTTCAGCCACAGAGGCAGTCAAATTTCATTATTTAATGTGTAGTGTTTTCTATGTGGATTATCCTGTGACGATACTGACCTCCTTCATCGTCATCCCACCTTTTTATTACCATCTTAACTGGTTTCTCGCCACTTACTTTTAAAATTTTAAATCGTACTCGAATTCCTTTTTTTTCTCGAGGCGAGATGCTTAATTATCATCTTGTAAAACTCCAACTCCACTTAAACTGTTTTTAAATCATTAGATATACATATACCCATACATATAGACGCTATGTAAGATCGGGTACCGATGTCGCCACTTTTTAGCTTGTGTGCAATTCAGACTTTACGCTCTATTATCTACTACTATAACTTAAAGATTTTGATTGGGTACGGCTTAAAACATGAAAACGACGTAACACAATTTTAAAATTTAACAAAATTAAACTTACAATCACTTGAGTAAGAGTTATATTACAATATTTCAGCATTTTTTCATCCTGGTTGAGCCATTCACCATCGTTTTAGTAAAAATACTACTAGTATATAATAGCTAAGTATTACACGTTAGATGGCGCTGAAACTCATTTTCGTTACACTAAGAACTCACGGAGCGGTTTTAACCCGCGTCTGCCGCGGGACAGCGGCATCTGTAGGATGTAATAGTTAACATGTAAAATTAATAGCACATTTCACGGCTCGTTTTATGCCTGTAGTGGTGACGGTTTCTCGCGGTTGCCACGGCGGAGGACTAGTAGAACCGCGCAGGACGCGATCAACTGCGCGCTTGGCGGCCATCGTCGCCCGCGCACTTTGTCGGTCGGTTCAAGCGCAATGGGGTGCAGACGAACGCGGGGTGAGTTCTCTATTAACCGCGCGACTTGCGATTAACTTCCACTAACTTTGCGGTCCGTTCCGCAATCGCAAGGGTTTCATGCCCGTAACCGCGGCGGCTACGTGCCCGCAAGTATTGAGTAGTGAGTATTGAAATAAAACCGCTGTTTAGCATCACCGGCGGGCGAGGTTGAAACCGCTCCGTGAATTGTTAACCTTATTAACCTTAAACTGACGCTGTTAGAAACCATGTGGCTGTTTTTAATATTAAAAAATATTCCATTTTTCATACTATACCTACACTGGCACTGGTGTATTATTAAATTAATATAAATTATTATTATTTTCTTAATGGCGCCCACTAGGCTTGGGCCAGTGACAGTTATATAAGAATAATATAAAAAATATGGCGATCGATCGTCGTCAGTGTCAGTTTTCCATTATACGTTACCACCACGGGTTGGTGAAGCTCACTGTCAAGAGTAAACTTGAACCATTAACGAATTTAATAAATAATAAATTATGTTGTTTTTTTTATGAAGGATTTATGTAATTTTCTATAATTGTGTTAAATAAAGCCGATTTTATTTCATTTACAAAATCATCACATACAAAGACAGAAATAGTAATACGAAAACCAATCTTCCAATTTTCCTGCAGCTTCAATCCAACCTACTTTTATTTTCAACTCATTGGAAAAACTTAAAAATTAAAAATACTCTACGTTTAATCTACGAATTTAAATATCTAAAACAATAATACACATACATTTTTTTCAAGCAACAGCAACATACAAATTGACATGAAATTGAAACGGCTGTCCGAAATATGAGTTGTGTTAAAGTTACTCAAAATAAAATGTTTAGTAATAATAATAATAATAAAATAAAGGAAATCAATTTAACGTGAACGCTTTTCGCTTCGATATTTTAGGGACTTTAATTACAAAAATCATTGTAAGAAATTCAAAAATTTCAGTAAAATATTATTGTCGATAAACATCATTCATCGTAAATGAACATCACTATATTTAAGTCCAGAAATTTCTATGGAAACAAAAAGAAAACATTGAATAATAATAGAAATAGTAACTAAAAATGCAAATAGCCGGTGGAATGTTATCTCACTGCTTTTAAAATTTTTGTTTTCACTCCAATTTTTTAAAGGTGTATCGCTACAACTTGGCATTTTCACATTTTACGAGAGATCTTGTATGTACAGCGATCGCCATGTCGCTGTGGCGATGTTTGTAGGCGTGTCACCTCGATATGATCATTTTGATTATATCGAGGCGACTCGAATCACGCCCCCATACCAAATCTTCCCTTTTTTCCTATCTCTATGTATGTACCCAATGATATTATACTTTTATTAATGCTCACTGTATATACCCATATAGACTGTCCTGGGCGTTTCTTTTCCTCTTATAATACATTTATGTGGACCGAGTCTTCTCTTTTACTCTAAATAAGGCTAGGCTACAAATGTAAATAAATTAATAAACAATCTAATATGACATTTGTATAGATTATGAGAAACTATGACCATTGCATAAAATACAAAGAGGGGCGCCTCGATTCTGTGCAGCTGACGACTTGACTACCCCAAGCGCATCTTGCTTGAGCACGTTGTCCGCACGCTGCTGAGAGTTAGGACTCACCGATGTTCGTCTATTGGATGTTTTATTTGTTTTTGTGTTGCTGTCCGTCTCTCTATTTGACCAGTCATGGTCACATAGATTTTTACTTCAGCCATCTTTATAAAATGTAAAAATGTGTTTCATATATTATATACACTTTTTCTGGGTTTTATTTTCTTTAGCCAGTGGTCGTGGTGTGCTGCTGTTGTATCAACCATTGGATATTAGTAAAGACTGTGCTTTTTCACAACGCCTGAGATATGACATTACGTATGGAATGGGAATGTCTGACACTAAAACTCTGGTATTGCAATTATGTAGCAAACCGAAACATGATTGAAATTTAATTATATATTTTCAGTCTGGAAATAGACAAGGATAGAAAGGGATTCTAGACGGAAATGTTTGGATTGGAGTTTTTGATTTTATGGCCATTTTAGTGTCGGTTGCCTTAAGAAGGTAAACGCACTAATAAAGAACCTATGAGGTAAGATCATCGTGTTGAAAAGTAGGTAGTTTAGGAAAACTAAAAAGTATCTTCACGATGTTTCTAAGTACAAAATCTATAATAACAAGGAAGTTTATTGTCTTAAACTTAGAATAAGGTTCGTCTGCTTTAAAGGTAAAACCACATAAACGACATTTTCCACAAAAAATCTCCAAATTATGTACCAGTTGTAAGAAATTCACCATCTTTCTGCAGGTACAAAACTCTTATTAAGTTTATAGCTATTTTGTTATTGAGCTTGACGTGCAGAAAGATTGTGATTTACTGACTTTTTGTGAAAAATGTCGCTTATGTGGTTTTACCTTTAAACAGACGATATTATTATGTAGTTCTTAAAAATTGGAAATTTTATTCAGTTCTATTTCTTACCTACAATTATGGGTTATAGACATTTTCGATGTTTCATAAATCTGATTCTGACATTTCCGTCTAAGGTAAATTGAAGTTACTTTTTGAATGTTCGTTAACTTAGTCAAAAATTTCAGCTATTCCGAACCATGAAAGAGGTGGATTATGAATGTGAAGTAGATATAGTTACAGAGAAACGATTTGATTTATACCTCTTGATCGTCATAAGGTTCCCTAACAACATCTTGACAAATTGTCATCTGAATCCAGATGCCTTCACACTCTATAATCAAGATCAGTGTTTACGACTTTGTGACCATTTGTACGCTGATAGTCCCAGATCCATGTCTACTTATTTTACTGCTAGTTTGAAGGGGAAAATGCGATTTCGCTTTGTTAGCAATTGCAGTATTAATTCTGAGATGAATGTGAGTATCTAAATGTCAATCTTCGTTAAACTGTTGAAGTTTTCTTGCTTCAATATTTCTATTGGTAAATGCTCGTGTAGCGATCGTATAGCCAACTTAAGTTATAGTGGCAAATAAAAGTGTAGGTAATTCTTGGCATGTATGGTAATTGATGCAGGTACATATTTCGTCTTCTTCGACTCACCTGTGTAAACACTTATCTTTATTACTTACTACTTGAATCGTGTAAACCGTAGTCGAATGTGTCGACACACGGGTACATGTCGTCACTGTAGCGGTGAGAGTCGAGCCACGCTATTCGTTGCGGTGGATGGCAGCGCGGCACCCTGGAACTTCATAGTATGCCACCCCGAAGCCGCGGTTTGCTTGCAACCACAGACTTCGCAATCGAGGTGACGCTTCGACGCTCCGCTAAAGAATGCACGATTTTTAGCTTATTGTCGCTGTGTGCTTCTACGTCGCTTTCGCCCGTGGCGTAATAATCAGAGAAACAATACAAATGAATACGTCTTTTCCGATTCATTTTTGTAAACATTTTGTGCAACTGTTTATCCAACATTCTTCTGTTGCCGCCACAGCGCCCGCGGCCAATGTGGCAAACTTTGAGGTCCGCACCTTCAACGCACGGTATGGGCCGTCTAAATTTCGCATGATACCTTGTGGTAGCTTGCTATGCTCAAAGTTCAATCCTCGTGTACGCTACGCGACCCCTAGGATTTTACCTTACAATATCATACGTAATGTTATTTATTTCCAGGCTAATCTGTATGAAGTTACAGCGACTTCCGCGCGAATAAAGGGCAATAAGCATTGCAATTTGAGTAACGAGAGCTTGTGCATTATGGGAAATATTCACTACTGCTTTACCAGTGGCGTTGCTTGCGATGGTATCAAAAACTGTGGAGTATCCGATTGTTAAGTGTCTATTGTACAACACATGTAGGGGAGTTGGGTAATACCGAGCCTTTAAGCAATGTGCTCAGACTTGGTTTATAAAAACAAGAATTATAGTCGTAAGTAGGTAATTCATTTGGCTACACATATAGTATAGCATAATCTTCACATACAAATATAAAAGCCGGTTGTTGCCAAACTGGTCTGATATTATCATGCTCAGGTCTTATAAAACCGTGCCGTAATAAATTTATTAGAATTCGTTCAATGTTATTTAAGAATAAATACAGAAACAAATTTTGGAATATGCTCGTGTGTATTAATAAGAGCATGGAACATTATCTTTTACAGCAACATAATCAAATACTAAAATGTTAACTATAAAATTAAATAGTTAAACAAATAGATAGTTGAGTAACGTTTGCCTTCCTTGTACTTATTTTCTTAAAGAACTGGCAGACTTGGTAGCTCTTTGAATGAAAGTGGAGATATTTACGTCTTTAGTCTTAAAAATACTTCACTACTGTTGATACATGTTTACGATACTTGGTAGCTTTCTTTTCCCTTTGAAATTTACGCTTATCGTTATTATTTCGACATTTTTGCACGCGTTTTATATAATACCAAGCGATGGGACGAACATGTTGTCCGCCTGGTGGTAAGCGGCAACAGTGGCAGTGCCACTGAGAGCTTTTAGTCTCAAAGATTATAAGAGCACTGAGCTTGAACATAATTTAATAAGTCCCATATGCCTGTAAATTCATCCTTACCCTTTGAAACTAGAACGCAGTAATGCTCACATTACTGCTTGGCGGCTAGACAAAATTGCAGTACTTCCCTGGGCGAACTCTTTCACAAGGAGCCCTACTGCTACTAATTACTCTTCACACCATTTGCGTTGTTGTTCGAAACTTTCCTCTTAGCAAATTATTCTTTAGCTCCGTTTCTTTTTTTCTACTCCCTCTTGAACATGTTTACCAAATAAAATTTTCATAGTTTACACACAAATCTGATAATACCGTATTCTAAGCGCGGAATTGTAAACACAGTCACTTTCCTTTCAAACCACAAAATAATATAAAAAAGCAAACTATGTTTTTGAAGTGATTTTGGAGATAAATTCTATAATATTTTAACCTTTCACATAATGTTAAAACAATTACTTAAAATAAAAAACTAATGTGGCTTACCTCTTACCGAAAACACCCGTGAAATTATAACGATTAGGTGTGAAAATTTGCAGCACGCATCGTCTTCGAATGATCACTCAGAATGAAGTGATAGCGTGCATGCAGGGAGTAGTACATGTCAGGCTATGATATTGAGACACTATATTAAATATCGTGTAGTTATTGAAACAGAGGCACGAAATTATCAGCCGCGCGGTAATACCCAAGTTTGCCCTAATTTATAATGTATTTTAAATTTAAGTCCACTGAAGTGTACGAACGTCTAAGTGAGATAAGCATAAATTGTAAATGTTTTCAGAAATTTTGACTTTCTGAATGTTTGATACATCACAGAATACGAAACGCATGAATCGATATTTTCGAATTTAGACCGCGGCCAGTTATACAATACTTACTACTACTACCTTGTTGCACCTCGAAATCTTTAAGTTTTGTGAAAATTTATTTGTGTATCATAGTTCTCGTTCTGTAATCCTGAAATAATAATACAGTTCTTTTAAAGTTTTTCTATTCTTAAAAGAGAAAATACAAAGTCCTTTTGGATCTATTAACCTGATTTTTGGTTGAATACAGTTTTATGCACATTATGCTATTTTTTTTTAAATGTAGGTACTTTTTAAATACTTATACCTGCAAAGGAGTAGAGATCAGAGCTGGTTTATATACAGGAAAATCGTATAACTTTGGTGTATTAATATTAAATAACAAAATAAGTTTTATTAAAAAAATACTGAAAAGCAATAAAATATATTCATTTTTTAAATGCCTATGTAAGGGAAGATCTCAATTTCGAGGACGGTGCGCCGCAGTCTTGGCGCGACCCGTGAAACGCGAGCTTGCGTGGCGCCGGCGCGTGGAAAAACGGGCAGTTGCAAGCCAATTTTACACATCAGTGGATGCTGCTTTTTCACCTTTAACATCTGTAGATGCTGATGCGGACGCTGGTTGCATAATAAATAATAGCATCAATAAATATGGAGGCTGATGCGAATGTACATATTTTCATTTATACGGATTATCCGGATACGGATGCTGAAATTTGTCAACAACCCTGGTACCAACCAATCAATCTAACAATACAGTAATAACATGCATACCAGAATTCTTTAGGCGCCCTTAATAACTTTATTAAGTAACCTAGGTACCTATTTGCTTATTCAGTTTTAACTGCCCGGTACTGTAGTGATTGAAACTGACAACTTCGGTATTATTTAATTTACATTCGTTATTACAGGTTTGATGAGCGTAGGTCTGAATGCGGGCTGGCTTCGGAAATCCTCGGTTACACACCCGTTCTCGCAGTATGTGGCGCTGTTACATGCATGTTGCTCGCAGCTACGCACGTCGTTAGGCAGTGTCTTTCACCACCAACAAATTCCTTTTTCATCTTTAACGCAAACGAAGACAATAGACTGTGCGTGGACACCGTTTTAAGACCACCTGACGAAGATCCACCACAGGAAGAACAATCAAAGCGGACGACTTCACCCTCAATAACGACATTAAGTAGTTAAGTACTTAATTACCCTCGTATTTGGTAGCAATGTAAACGTCCACAAAATACATTTATATAATTCTTTGTACTATATTTTATTTTTTCGTTTTATTAAATGTTCTACCTAGATAGCCTTCTAGATTGCGAAACAAGAATGTAGATACAGCACCTAATTGCCTAACGTTGCAGCTTTCATAATGTAAGTAAGTCAAAAATAGATCATCGTCAAGGAGCAGGGAGGATCATTCGTGAACATTCTACTATGCCCTTGTGCAGTGTGCGAAGACAGATAGCTCTTCCATATTCCACGGATTATCGATATCATCGTAAGGGCGCGTTCCCATTATGTTGTAACGTTCAGATGGCTGTCGTTCTTCGTGCTTCGTCGAGCTCTTCCCATTATCTCGACAGTCTGCCGCCGTAACGACAAAAAGTCGTGAGCGACAGAATCGTGTTGCACTATATTATGTGAAAATCTTCATAATATAAATATAAAAGTCACGACTACGTATCTGTCGTCGTGATGTAATGACGTCGTCGTTACGTAGTTTCGCGCCCGAAAGTTGTGAACATAGTGACTATCTCGTTAAATATGAGCAAAATAATTATTTAGGCGTTTTCGAACACCTCAGCAATAAATTAAGACTGAGCAGATTTTATTTAGTTGATTACATTTCTAAAATAAGCAAATGCTTGCTGATAATATTATGTATCATTATATGATAACTCTTACAATGTATATGTATACAAGGTTTTAAATTGGAAAAGGTAATTTATTACCTAATAAATCAATAAACTCAAACAATTTTTTTACAAAAAAGTCAAACAATTTATTGTTTGACTTTTTTGTCGCAATAAGTGGATAGATAACATTTTAATATACCAATTATAAATTGATTTATTTCATATATTAATATTAAATATACGTATTTCAAAATAATCAATCTTGTTGATGCTGAACCTTCACTTTTATTAGCAGCACCATCTAGTATTGACAAAAAATATTAGTATTTAACTCACTATGAAACTTACACAACGACGAACAAGTAGTGGTAGTTGTTTCAACTTTTCAAAATTCACTTCAACTTTTCGAATCACTTATTACTGGTCAAAAACTGGTGGATTAAAACAAGCAAAAAAAAAATATTGAATAATTCAATAAAACGTCCATTCGATAATTATTATCGAATGGACGTTAAAAAATCTATTGCAGAATTCGATTTATACGATATACTTACAGCACATCGATTAACCGTCTGTAAAAAGAATTGTATGTATGGGGTACATCACTAATCGACCAAAATGCCCGCCCAGTGCCTAGTGCAGCAGTGTGCGGATAGCAGCTGTACACAACGCAAAAAGCTGCTTTATTTTACAGAGAGCCGCTATCAGTCAGGGATAGCGTTTCAGCGCGTTTACAACGCAGTCTGGTTTTACCAAAAATTGGGAAATAATTATTTGAGGTACATTGTATTTTTCTTGCACAAAGTAATTCACACGTAGGTACCGTTGGGTCATGGAAATTTTTTTTAACTCATTTTTTGAACAATAAAAAGTGTGTGTGTGTATATAGATACATGTTTTTGTTTATATATTTTCAGTAAATTAAACATGTTTTCCGGATATTTTTCCATATTTCACCTTGACACCTGCCAAAAATTGAAGTTACTAAACAGAAACGATGGAGCCAACAACAAGTGGTGGTGGTGTGGTTTTTTTAGAGGATTTTTCGCTGTTGTGAAATAATTTTAAATCTCGTTTTTCTGTGCCTTTTAACTAACAAGTTCATTTTATAATTCACCCTAAATAAAGCTTCAAAAGATATTTCTAAGCATGACATGTGACTTCCAAATTGTATTTCTCCAATTTTTCAGTATATTTTCGTTAATAATTTAACGAACTTAACAGTTCACACGTATAATTTAAATTCATCTCTACGCGTCTTGCAATAGGACCGGGTCAGTGTCATGTTTAATGTTCTCCGATTGTATTATTTCTTAAGTAAAATAAAAAAAAAATCTTGATGGGTATTTTGTGCTGTAAAGCTTCGGGTAATTAAAAATACTCCATTGGCAACATTGATAGAGCGCTATTTCGCTACGCAAGGCTTCACACGTACACGTAGTAAAAATATTTTATGCTGTGGAAAAAACAATGACACACCAACGGACACGGAAGTCTCGCCATAAAAGCGTCCACTGCGTTAGCGGCATCGATGTTATCCTAACGCGCAGCATGTTTTGCAAAAATATTATGTCCTTCCAGATTTCAATAACAATTGATATTAGTATATTCCAAACGGTAAGCAACCAATGTAATAATAAAACTTATCGTTGTTAGTCTTGGAAAAATTTATTTTTTCAGTTTCAACTTGATTTTATTCAAATTAACAAACGTTTTAACCAGTCAATAAATTATTCACAAATATTAACTTGGAATTACACACTTTTTAAGTAAAACTTTATACAGCACGGCAACGTACATAATTTAAATCCTCTATTCCACTAAGTTCAACTTGTTAGTTAGCTAATAAGCTACCCTTTCCTGGAGATTAGAAGCAAAATAAAAAATGTTTCACACAGGTAAAAAGAAGTTTATTACTTTCGAGTGTTCAAAGTACTACTAATTTTATTAATACATAAAACAATGTATGTTTAATACATATTATGCGGATGTAAACTGTTTAATAAAATAAACATCAGGCTTTTTTCAAAAATACACAATTCTCTTGGGGCATTGGAACTTGCGTATCATTTCTCAATGTATAAATATTATGCATTATTAATTGCACATAATGCTTCTCAGTAATATCAATTTTGAACTAACCGGCGCGTGTGTGCACCATTTCGAACGCGTGCATTTGTGTATTCAATCATACTACACAATGGTATACATAAGATCACAAAGTCCAAACAATACAATACATATATTAATTTAATAAAATATCACATTTGTAATCCATGATACTAAGCAGTTCCTTTTATAACTCCCCAGCAATACAATCAAGACTAAATAATGCTCGTTAAAGTAGAAAAGATCTTAATGCAGTGCGTCTGAAACAACATTGAAACAAAACACTCTCAGTTGAACAGACAAGACAGTAAGTTGTGATGGACATGTGGCACAGCTAGAATTAACATACACTACTTAATGGTGTGCCACATAGTGCGTCGGCCGATGTCTAGGCCTGACTCTCATTGGTGGTAGTCTCGATGGTGGTGCCCGCAGGTTTGCTGTTGTTCTTAGCTTTAGCCTGCTGGGGCTGCGACGGAGACGTGGCGGCTGGAGTATCGCCCTCTTGACCGTTCTGACGCGGCGCAGAGGCACCAGCTTGCTGCTGTGGCTGGCCCTGGATGTTGCGCGGACGCATGCGACGGTAACCACCGCGATTCATCGGCCCAGGACCGCCTCCACGACGCCCACCACGGAAATTGCGACGGAAATAACTAAAAGTAAAAACAATATTATATTTCTTCATTTCAATGAAAGCAACAAAAAATAAAAAACAATAATGCCGTCAGATAAATCAATGATACTGATTTACCTGCGCTGTGGTGGGGCTCCGCCTCCCTCTTGACCTTCATCCCCTTGCGCGCCCCCTTGATTGGGCGGGGGCCCACGCCGTCCCATGCCACCTCTGCGTGGAGCGCCCTCACCGCCACGTCCGCCGCCTTGACGGGGGTAGTATCTGGCAACAACAATGTCACATTTGCATAAGTAAATCAATAAACTATTTAATCAGCTGTATGAATTACAATATTCATCTGAAACAACAATAAGTACTTTGTCCAACTGCAATGTTTGATAGTAATTAAAAACATATTTAAATTATAGGTAAAATATATGAGTGGTACTGACTGGCGATGGAAGGTGCGGCGCTTGTCAGCTGCATAGGGAGAACCCTTAACAGGCTCACCGCCGGGACCAGTGACTTGGGCTGCTTCATAACCCTTCTCCCCAGCAACCACGGCAAACTCCACTGCCTCACCGTCGCCGACCGAGCGCACAGCCTTGCGTGGGTTGTTCCGGGCTATAGCAGTTTGATGGACGAATACATCTTCCTTGGTGTCGTTTCTATTAGAACAAAAATATATTCAATACAAATAATTTATTATCACTCTCCATAGGAAATTATGAAGTAAAGATAATATGTTACCTGTTGATAAAACCATATCCACTCTTGACGTTGAACCATTTGACAGTCCCAGAAACCTTTTCAGCTGCAAAACAGAAAATACTTTATTCACCAAACAGTATGAAAGAAATCATGTATGGATTGCTTAACTCATTTAGGCAAATCTTCAAACCAAATTAATAAGTATTTACTACAACAGTCAGTATTTATTGCTGTCTCCCAGGATTTCATTCTTTGGTACTGTATGTATTTACAATGATGTGTATTTACTCTACTGTACTAATTGTACTGCAGCTTAGCACCTGCAGTACAATTAAGTTTAAAGATGCAAAAAATCTTTTAAAGTATCAAAGATTGTGTAATAACATCATGTGCAGTACTTATCTTATAACATTGTTAAATCACAACCATCGTGTTGCAAGCTTTTCTATTCTACTAAACAGCCAACATACTAAAATAATAAAAATGTTGACTTGACCTTAGTTCACATTTTCCTATCAAATTGCCTTAAATCACAAGTCTATGCATACTCATGGCGTAACTCACACATACTCATTATATAGATGATTTCTTTAGTAGGTTTTATTTAGAGCCTGCAAACTTTTGTATGAAGGACAAGTAACATATTAAGGTTATAATAATTTCGCAATGCTTTCTGATGCAAGTCGAATAGGTAAAACAGCAATTTGATCCGTACTTTACAATAAGACGGAAATGTTCTTAATGGTAATAAGAGGATGAAGCAAATACAACAGCGGTTACAAATCCAGGTCAAATTAATCAATACGACGGCATATAGCTATTGCACTTAGTGCGCATCTGCGTTCGCAGTAACGTTCCTGACCTACCTAGGTATTGATTCATGCCCTGTACTCGCTAATAGAATACGGTTTACGGGGTCAACAAACGATCAATAAATTTTGGACTAAGTTTAAAGCACCTACCATTTAAAGTTAAGTCTAAGTTATATTTTTAAATTCGGTGCAACAAGACACGATTTTAAACACATAAACCACTATAAAACATCAACGATTTACTTCATCTAATGCCATGTGCTTTCGTTAGCATAATGCCGGAGCACGCGAAAACTAAGATGGCGTTGCGGCACTTACCAATGACCAGCTTTTGTTTAGCCGCCTTCGCCTGTTGCGGTTGGGCTTGTTGATCTTGCTGCTGCTGTTGGGGCTGCGGCTGCGGCGCCTTTTCGGTATCAGCCATGGTGTAGTTGGCGAACGGCGATGGTGGCTAGATGGTAAAAATCCTCCACGACCTCTCCTCTCGATGTTCACCGCTCCTCGATCGTTACTAGTTGACTGACAATTTTGTCTATGGTCTAATCGCTTGCTAGGTGTTTTTAGAGATGGGACCGAAATTGTGTAGAAATCGATCGATTACGATAAACATGATTTTTAATTTTAAATAGGCAAAATAATGGGTTTTGAAAATTAAACATATAATAATATGTTAGTGTGGAGCATCCATATGCAAAAATAGGTATTATCAGCGGTGTCCGTGGTATTTTTCTGTTTACAATTTTCTTCAGACAATACCTTAGAGGATGGAAAAAAATAAAATAGTCTAAGAACACTAAAACAGCGTTGCAAATTTAGCGTCATTGTCGCTAGATTAAACGACATTTTGACAACAAAAGCGATATTTTATTTCTATTTAGCGACAAAAAGCTTTAGCCACTTTTTGGCGCATATTTAACTAGGTAAGTATATTTATTTCATCTTTTATCATTTACAATACGATTTTATTTCATTTCATATATTTTCTACTTAATGGTGGATTGTATTGGTCTTTAAGTTGAACGTTATGTCCGGACAGTGTCAGTGGAGACTGTGACTGACGTCTCCAGTACTAGTAAGGATAATTATTATAGGGTTGGTTAGATATCGTCCGGTTTATCCAGACGCGTTGGAATAATGAGTACTGGAGAGACGCTCGGGCGGCGTCGGGAAGTGAGCGTGCGTGCAGTTCCATCACCAACGAGAAAAGTTGGTAATTAAATTTAGATTCAACGGCTTAGCGCTAGCATCCGTTAGGTTGTGCAATTTGCAACGAGAAGTGTGCCTGCCGACGAACCGTACCAATGAAATGATTCTGTTGAGTAGGTTAATAGTCGATTTTTCAAGGAGTGGAAATCTTATACTATGGAAATGCTATGGAACCTAATTTTCGATCCTATAAGGTGGAAATATAGTTTTAGCGAGTTTTGCTATAATCTAATTGGCAACACTAACATCTTTTTGCCATAAAGTAGTTGGTAGCACTGTAAAAGTACATTTATATTAAAGCAGTTTACTTTAAGCTAACTAGATGGCGTCTGGTAGCATGAAGTAAATGTATCAAAAGGGTAATTCTTTAATTGTTTTGAATATATTCATGAATTCAAATGCGGATCATGTTTTTTTTAATAATAATTGTAACTTTAAATAGAAACAGTAAGTAATGATTTATTATGAAAAAAATGTCTGTTTGTGTAGATCATATTAATTTTAAAATAAAATGTCAATAAACCCCTGTGTATGTTGGTATCTCCCATGTGGCTGGCTGAATGGCTAAATTTGATATTTGTTTGCACTATGTTGCAATCTTAGAATAATAACGCATATAATGATAGTTTCACATCAAACGAACTGTCACAAGTGAGGCAAAAATCAAATTCATGTAGGCGTAAGCAACTTGTATCTACGCTCGTCGGCACGCACACAAATATACAAATAATGATGCCATGGAATAACATTTCCCTCAAAAGTGGGGAAATTGTATCTTGCTTAACTCATCATTAAGTTAAAGATGCCTACAGATTTGCCCGACATAGTCGATCAGGTGTCTACAGATTTGCTCGATTTTGTCGATCGTTACTGTCAATCGACATCGTCGATCAGGTGCCTACAGATATGATCTGTTTTGTCGATCGTTACTGTCGATGGACAATGTCAAGTGACAAGAATTTTCAAAAAATTATTTTTGGTAATCCTTATGGAAGTGGTTATATCTGAATACACGATGACGGACACAAGTTTTCAAATAAATGCAATATGGGAATCATTTTCGAGGCATTCGAGGTGCTCATTACGAATATGGCACTCATTTCTAAATTAAGATGGCAGGCACTATTTTTCGAATAATGGCAAATTGGGTATCGTTTTCAAGGTATTTGGGGGTGCTCACGATTTAGAAATGAGTGCCATATTCGTAATGAGCACCCCCAAATAGCTCGTAAATGATACCCAGAATCAAAATCAAAATCAAAATAATCTTTATTTCTTAAGTAAGCATTATAACACTTGAAATCGTCACATTGGTTAAACTCTACCGCTCATTCGTAAGACAGATTCCCCCGAGAAGTATGAACAAGAAACTCTAAGGGTTGCTCTTTGTAAACAACATTTGTACGCATTAAACTTGCAGAAATGGAGGTCAAATGCACACTTACATTAGAATAAAAAAAATCTGCAGCCATCGCGATATTGCTTATTCTCAAAAAATTACGTAATATAATTATTTTGAAACAAAGTAGCAAAATTAGGAGAAAGAAATCCGTTACTTTGCAACATTTTCGTGTCTTGTTGCAACGAAATTAATTTTCCGTTTTAGTGAATATTTATATATAAATACAAGTTGAAACGCGTTACTTCCTTGTGGAATGTGACGTTAGTATCTATTTTATATTTGTCAGACGTATTTTTACACTCATTTACCGCACATTTCGTCATTTTTAGCCAAAATTCTTGAGCTGTTCGCGGTGCAAGTTGACCTTGAACACTGACGGCCCGCCCGCTCGTGTAGGCCCATTGGGAGCGCTTCAATTTGTCTCACTTAGCGTGTGCGGATTAGGTTTCTATGCGCTATTATTCTAAGGTTGCAATAATGTCAGTACAAAGAACTAAAAAACCGTAGAGGATGTAAAAAAATTAAAAAACCAACCTCACAGTTTCATAGAATTACATCTATTTGCCAAGTTTTATTGAAATTGGTTACCGGAAAGTGCGCGAAACCGGATTCATCCCCTAGTTTGCCATCCCTAGAGGTGGAATATTTTCCTCAAATTTAAATGAGACCATGAAAGAACCTTCTTTTTTAAATCGGTTAAAAAAACGAGCACTATATCACAATATTGTAATATCAATTTAATTATTTCATAATTATTAATTTTTTGTTCTTAATCAACATTCAATTTATTTATTTCATAATTATTCATTTTTTGTTCTGAATGTTTATTCAGAAAAATAAGTAAGGAATAGGATGAAAAAGTCTTAACTTAAAGGATGGAAAAGTCTAAGGAATATTTACATACTTGATATAGACTATTTTTTCCATCCTCTAAGGTTTTGTTGACGTTTGAATGACAAAAGGAGAATTTATGCCAAAACATAAAAAAAATTTTGGAATGTTCATTATTAACGGCCAGCATAGTACGAATTAAAACATGGAACAACATTTAGAACAAAAAATGAATAATGATGACATTATTAAGCAAATTGATAATACTATCTACGTACCTATCTAATGCGCTCGTTTTTTTTTTTTGCAACATAGTTTATGCAATTACGACCGGTACACGTATTCACAGGGATCTATTTTGAGACTTGTGCAGTTTTGGACCTTAAAATAATAACGCATAGAAACCTAGTCCGCACACGCTAAGTGAGGCAAATTGAAGCGCTCCCAATGGGCCTTCAGTGCTCAAGGTCAACTTGCACCGCGAACAGATCAAGAATTTTAGCTAAAAATGACGAAATATGCGGTAAATGAGAATAAAAATACGTCCGACAAACATAAAAAAGAAACATCACATCCCACAAGGAAGTAACTGGTTTCAACTTGTATTTTTATATAAATATTCACTAAAACCGAAAATTAACCTACTATTAAAAGTAGCCTACATGTATTTAATTTTTGCCTCACTTGTGACAGTTCGTTTGATATGAAACTATTATTCTATGCGTTATTATTCTAAGTTTTGGACCTAATTTTTTACTGAACTTTTTCTTGTCGTTTCGTAAAATGTCATGATCTAATTATGATTAAACCAATTAAAATCTAATAAAGTTTTATTTCTAAAAGAAAGTTCCAGTGATAAAATAAGTCGCGATTATACAAATTGATGATGATTTTTAAGAACGAAAACGGCTCAATTGCTAATACTTCCCTTTTTTCCCAAGGGTAGTGGAGTGTTATCTTTACAGAAGTTATGCCACTTTACCGACGACGGAGTGGAAAGCAAACATAATTGTAAAAGAGAACCAAAAGTGGGTCATTGCCATTCGAGGGTCAATGGGTCAGTTTCAGATTTATAACCTTATGGAAAATGATGTTTCAAGTGGTTAAACGGTATAAACTAATTTTGTTGTTTCTTTTTAACCTAATCACTTTAATTCTAAAGGTGCGATGTGCACCTCTAATTTTGATTTTTATTTATTACCGTACACATAGATAGCTAACACAAATTTCATGATTTTCATGACCAAAAGCAATGATCTTACACTATACGGTATACAAGAACATTGGCCAAGAGTGAAAAATGTTCCTCGTTTGACTATTAACAACAAAGTTATCAAACAATAACTTCGAAAAATTCATATCAATCCGTTAAGTGTTCGATATAATAGGGGTTAAAGTATGAAATTGCCGATTTGTACTGAAAATCTAAATTGTTAATTTTTTAAATTTTTAACAAATTTATTTAATCAAAATAGTTGCCATTATTATCTATACATTGCTGCCATGTAATGGGAAGGTTATTAATGTCTTTGCGATAGAACTCCGACGATCTAGACTGCACAAACTGTGTGAAAGCATTTTGTACTGCCTCCTGGGAAGAAAACTTCTTGTCACGTAGATAATTGTCCAAATCATGAAAAAAATGGTAGTCCGTTGGAGCAAGGTCTGGTGAATACGGAGGATGACGAATGGTTTCTAACTGCAGTTCCTGAAGGGTCAAAATGGTTTCTCGTGCTGTGTGAGGTCTCGCGTTGTCGTGGAGCAATAATGGTGAAGATCGATTCATGAGTCGGGGCTGTTTTACTGCTAGTTTTGTCAACATGGTTCGGAGTTCGGCACAATAGACATCTGCCGTTATTGCTTGACCAGATCGGAGAAAACTATAGTGAATAACACCATGCTGAGACCACCAAACAGTTACCATTACCTTTTTATTGGTAAGTTTTGCTTTAGGACACTGTTGTGGCATTTGACCTGGGGTCAGCCATTGCATTTTTCTTTTCCGGTTATCATAAAGAATCCACTTTTCATCACATGTTA